TGCCCTTGAACTGAATGTGAGAATAGAGACGTTTAGGGAAGATTAAAGTTCTGAACTTTGAGATAAGGATAGAGAAGGCTTGGAATGGAAATGAGACATTGTGATTCCACTTTTTTAAAACCAACAACCTCATATTTCGCTTAAGCATGTTTCTATCACTTAAGCAAAAAATCACTTAAGCGAAACTTTTCGCTTTAGTTGACTGTGTAGGCTTAAGCAATTTCTGTATGGCTTAAGTGATTTACACAGGATTTTTGGCGCCAAGGATATATTAGGTTACTTATTTCTAAAGAAAGAGGTTTCTTCTATTTTTGATCTTGGTGAAACATTGAAGTACATGATATTATCATTGGTGAAGAATACATTCAAGAACACGGTAAGGATAAAACACACAAGTTCGTAGCATTAAAGTCCATTTCGGGTTAGATTGTGACAAAAAAAGTCTTTAAACATACTAAAGGTGCACATTTTACCATTACATCTGTTATTTAACATTATTGGAATAAATACTTATCATGTTTACTGTTATCTTATTTGATTGAAGAATAGATGTCGCAAGGAAACTAAATGTTGGGCAAGAGTTTGAGAGTCTTGAACAAGCATGGCAATTTTAGTGTAAATATGGCAAGCTAGCAGGATTTGGAGTCAGAAAACAATATTTTAATAAGTGAAAGGTAGATGGTGTATTACAGGTTGTAGACATGTTTGTTGTAAAGAGGGACATCGAAAAGAAGATAAAAGAAAATCCCAAGTCACAAAATATCGACCAGAAACTAGAACTGAATTTCTTGCAAGGATATCATTATCTTTGGCAAACAAGACCAAATATGTCATTCATCAGTTTGTTGAAGAACATAATCTATCACAACTTCCAGAAACAATACACGTGTTTGCTTCACATTGTAATATAACAAAAGTCCAAGCTTATGAAATTGATTTGGCTGAGACCTCCGAAATACGATAAAAGGCATCATTTCAACTAATGACCAAACTTGCAGGACACCGAGCTAATGTTTCATATACTCGACTGGACGCAAAAAATTATTTGAGAGCAAAAAGACAAGGAGGAATGGTATACAGTAAGGTCAGTTGTCTAATGCAATACTTTTAACGGCAATTACTAGACCACCCAACTTTTTTTCATTCATACCAGATGGATACAAAGAAGCAAATCACAAATGTTTTTTGGACGGATGCAAAGATGGTAATTGATTTGGGTTTTTTTGGTGAAGTTGTATCATTAGACACTACATATTGTACCAATAAGGCTAATAGGCCTCTAGCATTATTTTTTAGCTTTAACCATTACAAAGGTGTTATTATCTTTGGGGTAGCCTTGTTATATGATTAAACAGTTGAATCATTTCAATGGTTGTTTGAGACTTTTTTAGAAGCACACAACAACAAAAAAACCTCAAACAATCTTTATAGATCAAGATCAAGTTATGACCAAAGCACTTGTCTATGTAATGCCAGAGACACATCATACATTATGCACATGGCACTTAATGAAAAATGGAATAAAACACTTTGGCAATTTGATGAAGGGAGGAAGTCATTTTTTAAGAGATTTGAAAAGAAGCATGTATGACTTTGAAGATGATTGGAAAAAGTTCATTACAAAATATAATGTTGAACAAAATACTGGGGGTTACTTTACTATATTCCATAGAGGAGAAATGGACATCATGTTATCTGAAGGATTATTTAACCCTTGGAATGCAAAGTACTCAACTAAGTGAAAGCTTAAATTCTGATTTCAAGGCTTGTATGAAACTTGGTGTTGACATCAAGCAATTCTTTGCTCACTTTGAACGGGTTGTTGAAGACAAGCGTTACAACAAGCTTAAGTGTGAGTATGACTCCCGTCATAAGCTAGCCATGTTGCGATATGAGGTGTCACCAATCCTAATACAAATGGTCAAGGTTTACACACATACAGTGTATAATTTATTTTAACAAGAATTTGCTCAATATTTGGCATGTTGCATATCATTAAGGATTGAAACTCCTCCTTTGATTGAAAATGTAATTACTAAAGTCAATCAACAAAGGTCGTGGACAATTACATTTGATAGTTTCTCAACTACTATCAATTGCTCTTGTAAAAAGTTTGAAACAATGGGGATACTTTACTGTTATGCTTTGAAAGTGTTTGAAGCCAATGATATAAAGGTTGTTTCTGACAAATACATACTAAAGAAATGAACAATAAAAGCCTGTTTTGGGATTATTCACAATGTAAAAGGCATACAAGTGAAAGAATATCCTATACTTTCTATTACATAGAGATACCGACAGTTAACATGTAAAATAATTAGGTTTGGCCTCTGAGGTTTCTAGTTTAGAAGAATATTGTCAATTAGTGGATGACAGTATTAACACTTTAGTAGGCCACATTGCAAAGCTTTGCTTATAAACACAAGATAATGACAAGAATAGGGATGATGGTGTAAATAACGTCACTAATTAGGGTACACAACCTAAAGGATTCAAGCAATGATCAACCTAATTCACTTAAGCTTATCTATTCTGGCTTGATTTCTTTTGAACGTGGCCCAAGCGCGTATATATTTCGCTTAGGCTACAGATCTTCGCTTAAGCAATTATATCAAGTTGTACAGGTTAATGCATTTTTTGATAAATTTGCTTAAGCGGATGAAACTCGCTTAAGCCCTACCAAAATTTGCTCAAACTAATTACACTACCTGAAACATGTGTTTTCTATTTTACATTCGCTTGATAATAATTAAATTTGCTGGTCTTGGCTTGAGCGAGGCGATAATAGCTTAAGCAATTAATGATTCACTTAAGCGAAATAGGTGACTGAAAAACATGCTTCTCTGATCCATTTTTGCTTCAATTTTTTTTCGCTTGAGAGAGCTTAAGCGATTTTAAATTAGCTTAAGCCAAATTTGGTCGCTTAAGTGAATTTCGCTTTCAAATCTCTTCTGGCTCGCTTAGGCACGTTTCTGAGTGTTCAAGCCCTTTTGTCAGTCGCTTAAGTGAGCGGAAAACTACAGCTTGCAGTTCCTGCCAAAACTGCAGACGATCCAGGTCCCTTATTTTGGGAACATAAAGTTTGAATCCGATTTTTTCAATGTGCTCTCCAGGATATGCTTAATGGAGTCATCAAACGGTCAATTTAAAGCAGATATCTTTTAATTATTCAAAAGTAGTTTATGTTACAAAATTAGATTTAAAACTTGTTTCTACTAAAAGTTAGATTTAAAATTAATTTTTATAAAACTTAAGTATTTAAAATTGATTTTTGTTAAAAATAACAAATTTAAACTCGTATTTGCTAAAAAATCTTAATTTAAAATTGGTTTAGCCTAAAAAACATAGATTTAAAACCAATTTTAGAAAAAGACTGATTTTAAACTAAAATCACATTTTAAAACTAATTTAAAATAGTTTTGATAAAAATAAAAAATAAAATTCATATTTTTGTCTTAAATTTGATTTTTCAACTTTATTATAATTCATTTTATTTATTTAATTTTTTAAAAATATTTTTAAATAAGTCATTTTTTTGTTAAAAATATAAGCTCTATTAATATATATATATATATTATCTTAATGTCTATGCATTGTTATTCGTCTTCTGAAATTTACAAGATTTTTAGAAGGTTCTTTTTATTATTGTAATATGCGGTTTGTCACTTTTTGTTATTACAAGATTTAGTTTTACATAGTAGATAGGGCTATCAAAATTGATACTTAGTTCATTTTATGATGATAATAATGATTTTTAAGACTTTCAAAGGGTTAGAAATTGAATCTTGTATATACTCATTTTGAACACATATTTTTTATATTTTTATTATTTCATGTATACTTAAATATTACTTTTAACTTGTTGTATTTTGCTGTACATGAACATTGATAATGTCCAAACTAACTATGATTTGGATGACAAGATATTTTATAGCTATGAATTTAATGAATCAAAAGTTAACAGTGGAAGATAGAAAAATGTTTATCATCATTGAAAAAGTACAAGAGTAATGCATAAAATAATGTTAAAATTGTTGAAAATGAAAAATAGTAAAATACTATGTTAAGATTAAAAAATACATTTGGAGAAAAGAAAGTTGTCTATATTGCTTTTTCTCTTAAGCTAAAAAAAAGAGAACTGCAACTATTACTATTAATAAAGTCATAATTATTATATTGTATTTATAAGAGAAGAAGATAAAATAATATCAAATGATAATAGATAAAAAAAGTGACTTATAATAGAAAATAAATGAATATTGTATAAGAAATTTATATGAGAAAGGAGGAAGAGAGAGAAACACTTTAAAAAAAAAAGTGACTAATTATATTATAAGTTAAAGTAGAATGTTATTTTCAGTCATTTAGATTCTATTTCAGTTTGCTTATGTACGTTTACATGTAGTTCAATACTATTTCGCTATTCTTCTACTATTTCTATTTAATCTCTTGCTTTACGATGCTGATTTGATTGTTACGTTCAGAAACACATTTAAAAGTAAATTCAATCTCATATTCTTCTTGAATTTATTTATTTACTACTTACAATTTTTACCATAAACAGATAAAAAATAAATGTATTCTATAAAAAATTCTTATGAGAAGAGAGAGAAAGAGAGAAAAGCTTTTAAGAAAAAGAAATGACCAATATTACAAGTTAAAAGTTTAACTCAACAAATATTATTCACAAAACAATAATAATAATATATATGATAAAAGAAATAAAAAATATTGACAGAATTAATATTTTTAATAAAAAGTATTTTAAAAAAGTTAAAAAATTAAAATAATTCGAAATAAATTTAAATTTACCAGGTTTAAAATCAGGTTGGTTTGGTTTAAATCTATGCACATCCGTATGTTTCAGCCCAATACACAGACCAGATTTGGCCACCTCGTCAAACCAGAATCAACGGTTCAAAATTTACCAAACTATTCAAAATAAAAAAAATTAAAACGAGTCATTATTATTTTATTTATTATTGTAATAAAACACAAGCTGTTTCCTCAGAATAAGCAGGGACTCTGGAAGATTAGATTTACAGTGCAGTTGTCGAGCTGCAGATCCTCCACTATTCAAATCAAATTGTAAGAATGTGAAAATCTCAAAATTGTTTCAGTTTTCTGTTTCGTTTCCTTTTCTGATTCGGATTGTTGAATCACTTTGACAAATTTAGGAGTTGCTGCGGCAAAGATGGAAAACAGAGAGGAGCAAAAGTTTAGCGTCAGGAAATTGGAGATAACTGACAAGGCCAAAGGTTTCATTGAGTTACTGCAACAACTTAGCATTTGCGATTCCGTCACCGACAAGGAATTCGGGGATCGATTTCGAGAACTAAGTTCTCTGGGAGATGATCACATTATCTGCGTCATCGAAGATGAGGGTTCCGGAAAGATCATTGCCACAGGGAGTGTGTTTATTGAGAAGAAATTTTTGAGAAATTGCGGCAAAGTTGGGCATATTGAGGATGTTGTTGTGGATTCCAACGCTCGCGGGAAGCAATTGGGAAAGAGAGTTGTCAACTTCCTCACAGAGCATGCTCGGTCGATGGGATGCTATAAGGTGATTCTCGATTGCAGCATTGAGAACAAGGCGTTCTACGAGAAATGTGGCTTCCAGCAGAAATCTGTTCAGATGGCTATGTATTTTGTTTGAACACCAGGGTTTTTCCTCAGTTTCCCTATTCTCTTAATTCTAATGCAAACTTATTTCAGTTACTCCTTTACTTTCGTTTTTTCCAGCTTTTAGCGTGGGATTTTACTTTTCAGTAGCTTGTTTTGCGATACTTTTTTAATCACTTTTCTTTTTTTAAATAATCTATTAAGTTCTTCCAAACAATAAATATGACAGATGTTCATGAATCTAATCGTGTGAGCTGAAACTAAAATAAAAATTCACTGTACTTGAAGAATTACCGTGTGTTTGGATTGAGGATAAACATATTGGAATTTAGATTTATTCTAACGGTACAAGTTATAAGATGAAACGCAATTTAATGTGATTTTAATAAGTTTTTAAATATGCTTATTCGTTTTTGCATTTTAATTTGTTACAAAGGTTCCCTATCAACATGGCTGCGATGGTTGAAACCTGAGTCCTTGTAGTTTCGAATTTATACTGTTGTGTTTATGTATACGACTGTATGAGCACATGAATGCACGTAAATTTCTAACATTAGTAACTTATTATCAGGAGTTAATGAAACAAAGGTAATTGTGAAGTTTCAACTTAAGAAAGTTCTTTGTATGGGTGGTGTTGTTGGAAATTGCAAATGGAGAAGCAAATATTACATAATGTACCCCTTGGTTTCATTATTGAAGAAAAACTAGTCAAATGTAATTTGGGAAATCTTGAGCTTGTATTATACTTCTAATTGTTTGAGTACCGAAGTCTTAGGAGTCCAAATTATCCCATTAAGATATGTAAACGGTCTAACTTTACCTTTATTCCATTCGCTCTAAAGAGACCATGCATGTAAGGCAATGAATCATGGTTTGGTGGTGTGTATTTATCTCAGCGGATCAGCTTGACCTATTTAGTAGTTAGCAGGAGCATATTTGAAAATGTTCTAGTGCTGCCAAATATGATCAAAAGAGGCCTTAGCAACTATTCATATCGGCATGTTGGGATATGTTAAACTGATTTAGGGAGGGTTCTGCATATTATAGTAGTAGGTTAAAGCTTTTGTTTGTGACAGTTTCTTTAAAATATCCTTCAATTTGGCATAAAACTACAGAATGAAGTGACCATTGGATTGACCAATATGATGCTTGAGGTTGCAAAAATAATATTCTTGAAACTTATCTATATTTGGGAACCATTTTGTTTATTTTGTTCAGATTTATTTTTCAGCTATTAATATCTTTAATTCTGTTTTTCCATATTTTAAATTCATATATCTTCGATTCAGATATAGGTATACTTAGCATGGGCGAAGCCTCTTATGGACATGTAAGCAAGACCTCGGTGGATGCCCTTTTGACTTTCTTCATATTCTTTTGATATCAATATTGTGTGATGTGATATTTTTGCTCAATCTGGTGCAATTGATAACTTTTAAAGAATTACAAGTACCTCTGTATTTGGTCTTCATTTGGCTATTCTTCTTTGAAAATAATGTGGTAAGACACGCATACCTGAGTGGCTTTATGACTGCTGTAGTTGCCCGTGTAGCCATTTGTACCGTCAATTTTCTATGACGCTAAACCTTGAAATCAAGCTAGTTAGAAAAGGCCGAGTTAAATACGCTTACGATCTTGGCTTTCGTGGCTATCTGGTTTGGATGGGTCTTCCATGCTAAAAGCTTTGAATTGTGAAGCACTTCGTATACTTCCAGAAAGAATCAAGAGAAATTGAATTGCAAAGGGGAAATAAAATAAAATCTTATTTGATGTAATTAGAATTGATCGGAACAATAAATGAGTAGGGAATATTAACAGGAAAAGAAAAATCCATTAGAATAAACAAAATCAGTAATAATTTCACCGATGTCTCTTTCTATTCGAAAATATTTCTTCATTTAATCTTTTACTAGTATATTGAGAATCAATCATATTGTAACTGTTGACCACATACCTTTCACCCCATTTAAAGTTCATTTGCTACAGTTACAGCTAAACTTATTAATTAGATATTTCAAAAAAAAGAAAATGTTGGTTCAATTATACGGGAGTTTCACAAGAAAGAGTGGATCTAATGGGATTCACAAGAAAAGGAATGTGTAAATGGAATTGATAAGAAATTCACCAAATGAAAAAAAAAAAATGCCCAGGCAAATCAAGCCAAAAAGTTTTTTTTAAAAAAATATTTATCAAAATAATAATTTTATAAAACTAATTTCCCTTTTGGGGTGGTTTTTGTCAGCTCAACAGCAAGTATCACTCTGTTAAAGGTGATTTTCTAAAATTTTTGCATATTGCAAGTATGATGCACACTTTGTTTTTAACTCATATTGTGCTTTTAGTGTGCTACAGGTTACAAGGATGAAACACTCTAATTTAAAATTTTACATTTAAATTTGGATGTATAAGAAAAGAAAACTGCTACATATTACAACTCTAGAGAAAGTAATTTCTTAGGCATTTGTAAAGAGCAACTTGAAGCTGAATTAGGTGCATTTAATTGAATTTATATTTTAATTTGTAGGTATTTTATTTCTTTATACATGTTGAAATTCATAATAAGAATTTCTTTTAACTTGAATGAGCTTATATTTTTAGGTTAATTAGAAGATTTATATTAGTCCATTTTAGCAGCAAGGAATTTGTTGGTATTTTTTTTGTTTTTGAATAAAAGAGATAAACAAAATGAGAGAAGTTGCCATGTGGTAGCATGAGGGAAAGTATCACCCAAAGTGGATGCGATACTAGTCTCACGAGCGAGACTTTCCCAAGCTGATGTATTTAGAGAAATCAGGGAAAATAAATATTACATTTGCAATAAATTATTGTTTATAAAAATAAAATATTACATTGATAGGTGCATACTTGTTGCTGAAATAACAAAATACTTACAGGTAAATAATTTTAAATAAATATTATTTTAGCAAAGAATTTTTGAAAAAACATTTTTCAGTTAATTAGGTGCCAAAGAGTTCATTTTTGGCATTATTTTCAAAAGAATGTGTTCTTTCAAAGATGACATCAAATTCTTCAAGTTAAGCAATAAATAATGATTAATGAAAACTGTATTTAACAATTTTCTCTATCTTCTATTCTGTCCAACTTTTTCACTGCTCGTTTCTTCACTTGGATTTTCATGCACGTTAAAATGAAAGTACTATTTCTTAAAGATGTTACTCACGACTATGTGTCTGGAAACATTAAAATACTTATAAACATAGATCCTGCGTATAGATTATAATTAGTAGCATTAAAAACAACATAAATCTACATGTATTTAAATGTAGAACTCAACACACTAAAATTATGTTTTGTATCAACAAACCTGTATACGCTAATCAGTCTTGTGCGACATCCTTCCTCCGGAAGGAGTGAATCTGCCCAAGTGATCGTCATTACATGGCATTACACAAGGAACTTGCCATTGCTACCTATTGAAATAATTTTCAAAGCCTTATTTTACACCTGGGGTAACAAGCTCCAGGATATTAAATCAGGCTACACAAAAACGCCTGATAATTTAATACCACTACAGTTCATCTTACTAATATCACAATACAAGCAATAGATTTTATCTTCAGTTCAATCAATCGTTTTTTGTGGTACAAAAATCATGTTTCACAACGGAATCTAGTTCGCAAAGACTAAATAAATTATCTGAGCAGTGGTGAAAGGTCAGGAGGGACTTGCAAGATAACCAATTACTGTTTCACCATGAAGGAAATTTTACAACTGCAACCCCCAACAGCACTGGGGTTTTCTGTCACCTGCAAATGAAATCAGAAATTAAATGTAAACTTGTACTCGGTTACATGGCTTAAGAATGCTATTCAACCTTGTAAACAAGCGCAGTGATAATAGCGACACACCCCTTTTCCTTTATAGCCATCATGTTACATACCCGTTTCAATACCATAACATTTGCTTCAATGCGTGTATAGTCACATAAACACTTTTCTATACACATTTGTACCATACAAAGGTTTTGCACTAGGTTAAAACCACGCACACTGCGTTTTAAGGGTGGGTGGTCAGACCTTTTTCTTTAGCAGAAGGGTCCCATGAAACATAAAAGACTAGACATAATAGGGAAATTATGTGAGTAGTTTTTCTGCTAAATAATTACCAAAAGTATAGAATCACAGCTGTTTATGACTATTCGTGATTACACAGGGTTTAATAAGCAAACCAAAGCTCGTGGGTAATGATCCTTAAAAATGAAAATTTCTATGGGGCTCTATTTAGGAGCACATTAAATTCCATGGTGCTAACAAAGTACAAAACTGGTATGTGACCTTGGTTTAAGATGAAGTGCTGCAGTAGCTCCTCTTGGCCATTATTACAATTTTATTCTAATGTCAATCAGATTTTCAAGGCATCTATCTACTGGCAGCTCCAACTTTGTTTGGACTGCAATAGAGGAGTGCTGTCCCTCTCACTGATGAGAGAAACTGCAGCATTCACATAATAAGACAATACAACATGTTAGTCTGTAATTTACCAAATAGCTTAGAGCATAATATGCAATCTAAAATGAGTACAGCACTACAGAATCCTCTTAAAATTTTCATCTGAGGAAACTCACCTATCTAAAGGCTTTGTTTGATGATCCCAAACAAGTTACCTCTATGTCAAGCATTTGGAGCAGGTTCATCCAGGAAAATTATATAATTCAGATGAATTTCTGTTTTTTTTATTATTATTATTTCTATAATTTTACAAATGACATTAAGACTCCTATCTGAACCCAAATATTGTTAAGGTTTTCTCTAAGTCAAATCAACGACAGTCATTGGCATAAGTAACATGTGGAAGAATACAAGGACTAACTCTCATAAAAGCTTAAAAAGTAGTTATGTGAAGGCTCACGAAAGGTTTTATATTTTAACATTAGCCATCATGCAAGACTCCTTTGGGCTTGAAGCAAGTACAAATACACATAGCTACTTGACTACTCTAAATCATGCTAAAATTCAACTTTCTATTAGAAGCATGGGAGCAACAAGGATCAAACTCTTGATTGCCGTGTCAAGAACTGACTTTCTTAAAAGCTTTAAGTTGACAGGTAATGACTCATAAATGGTTTTATATCAAACAGAAGTTCTCCAATGTTCCAAGAATTAATCAGATAACAGGATGTGAATTACTACTATAGTTCATAACAAACTTTCCAAGGAGAATAAATCCTGAGAAACATTCTTCCTTGATTATTGCGTACTAAAATTACAATAAACTTTTCTGTGTTGCAATACAAGAATGTGAAGATAAGTTTTAATAAACACTAGTTTATACATGGCTCACAAGGGTGTTTGACTTACTACAAAAGCTGAACGGATCAGCTCCTCAACATAATCAACAGTCGCGCCTTTCACAAAATCGTATGAAACATTGTCAACAACCAGTTTAATTCCATCCCTCTCAAAAACTCTGCCAATATATTAGGAAAAGTAAGTTGCAATTTGTAAAAGCTACAGTTTTAGCATGTCCAAGTCCACTACACAAATGGCAAGCATCTCAGCTATGAAATTTGACTGGTAAGAGGTTATACCTGTCATCTGAGTTGATTTGGTCATCCAGATTAAAAGCATACTGAAATCCAGAGCATCCACCAGTTTCTACACTCAAACGAAGTAGTTTTCTGTTTGCTGATGATTCAGCTTCTAGTTCCTTCATTCTCTGTTCCATAGTAAGTTGGGATTGATTACATGTAACATACTCACAAGCATAGGGAGAAGGCCCATCAATCAAACATGTAAATTCATATATATATTTTTTAAAATTTATGCACCATAACGAACTACTCAAGCAAGACAGCAGATTTTTGAATACTGCAAAATTTAATTGAACTACAAGTGTCAACAAGATGTTTACAATTCGGGGAAGAAACTTGCAGCCACACCATCGGTTGAATATTTAGGAGTGTTTTAGTTGTGTCATTTTTAAACCAGCCTAAGTTTTCAAGTTTACCTAACTCATTCATGCATGTTGCAACACATGCAACTGGTGAATTGTGATATTGTAGAACAACCCATCCATTAAATTAATTCAATGACATTTGCTGACCATGTAGTCATGCTGAACGGCACTAATTAACATGGAAATGCACTGCAATAGTTGCAGGGGGAAAAACAAAACAAAAGTAATTATGAAATGGAAAAAAATTGAACGCACCTTCAGTGTGTTGAAGTAGTTTATGTCTATATCCAGAATAGCATGGAATGTGCCAAACAGACAAAAATTTAGTTCATTGCCATTGATAGGAAAAGCAGCTTAATAATTGTTGAAACCCCAATTTTTCATCTATCAAACGCACAATCAAGGGACACTAGACTATGTTTGTGTGCCTAGAAGTGTATTACACATCAGAAATACCTCTTACTGAACACGATTCGATTACAAAATTAATGATTAAATTTAAAAGAGAGGAGGAAAACATTTGAAACAATAACAATTATGGGGAAGCAATTGAAAAATCAAGGATCAAGGAACATACTCGAATGCAGTTTTTGGTCATATGAATGGGCTCCACATCAGAAGCAGCAGCAGCAGAAGAAGTGGCATGGTGAAGAACAGAAGAAGAAGAACACCTTCTTCTAAGCCTCAATTGCACTGCCAGTGACGGAGCCAAGCGTTGAATCAGTGACCTCTGCATCTCTCTCTCTCCAAGCAACGTTTGATGCAACCTTGCTATCTTCTTTTTGACTTATGGACAAGTGACAGCCGAATACAAGGAACAGATTTGGCAACCTAATCAAACCTGGATCAATGGCTCAGAATTTACAAAGCAAAACAAAATAAAAATGAAAACGACTATCCGATCTGTGTTAATAATAATGATAATAATTTAAATACATTCCAAAGGAAATGGATTAGAAATTTTAACTCAACACTACATTAGGCCAAAGTATCACAAATTAACCTCTATTAATTGGAAGTAGATAACTAAGAGTAAAAAATACATGCCCTTAGAAGTTAGAACCAATAATCCAAAATTCTTTCCATCTTTCTTCAGATTTTCATTGCTGCATTAACAATTCTTAAGTAATTGGACCCATGCTTACTTTATAAATTTAAACAGTTCAGGTGCATTAAATTTCATCTAACTTCTATCTGACTTTCTCTCTGCTAGTAGTAACACACGATCACATCATAGTAATTATTAAGATGTCCTACATTGGCTAAGAATAGAGACAAAATACTCCTTATAAGAACTTAAGTTGTCCTCCTCTAACGAGCTAGTTTTACGAGTTAGTTAGACCTACTTTTTTTACATAGTATCTAGATCCCTAGTCTTGTTGGGCCACCTGTAAATGTCCAGTCTTGCAAACTTCATGCACTAGATGTTCAGCTTTGGGCGTGTGGACTGTGGAGGATGTTTAAGATATCCCACATTAGTTAAGAATAGGTCTGTTAGACCCAAGTTCCTTAATAGTAATAAATATATAATACAATCTATAACTGAAGTTGTCATGCATGTATTATGGGTTATGAAATTTCAAGTAGCTATCATAGAGTAATACAAACATAATCTTGTTTCCTCTAGACTAGTCATATTGTTCTGTGATCTTCAACTGCCTAATTTATAACTATTGAAATATTAGGTCCGTATTTTAACATGCTTTCCTAAATTTTCTTAAATTACCTGGTGTTTTCATTGGCCAAAAAAATTAGGAAAGCACTAACTAATTTCACTTGAATTTACTAACCAAGTAGTAAAAGTTGTACTCTCTCTCTCTCTTTGTCAATGCGCCTTGTTTTCTTTTATAGTAAATTTCCTTTTTTATCGTGGTGGATTTTTGAGATTTTAATGTTTGAAAAAAACAATTATCATCATCGGCACATTATTTGGAAGAACGCACCAAATATCAAGAATAAAATCACATTTCATATTTTAAGCTATCAATAACTATTTCTTACTAGTCACTATATAATAAAACTAAATTCTTCTGTGAGTAAAGTTTATCTGTTAATTGGAAATTGATTTCACTTCAGATGGTAAACTTAAAACTTCTGCACCTGAAAGATTTGTATTTAGATTTTGCCAAAAGGGTGTCATAGTTTTCTGATACAAAAGAATCAAGTGTATAGAATTTATATGGTGAGACTATGTAACACTCAAATATTCTTTTCACTTGCACACAGAAGCAGAGTAAAAGAGGAAGATTTTCACTCAAATGAACTACAAATTAATCGTAAATTGATACAACTGATACATGCATAGGTGATGGCTTTTATAGGAAAACCTAACAATATAATAATATCAAAACTAGTAGCTAGGCAGTGGCAAGACTTTTAACACCAAGGACAAAACTAACAATTTCTTGCTTTTGTTTTCATACAAATAATCAGTGCAAGCTTCTCAAGCTGTGTACCAATATATCCGCAGAGTTAGTAGGTTAAACGGTCCAATAGAATTGGTTTTCAAAAACACTATGCAGCACTTTCCTTCCATGCAATATAATCTCAGATATTGTGGGGGATAGATATTTCAAGATACCTCACTATCTTTACAACTTCTTTGTCAATACCTCTTATTCTTTTCTTCAGCAAAAATCTTATTTGGGATAATGTTACTTCAGAGTTTTGTGCTACCCTAATACTAACAGAACTTGAAGTATTGAATTGGATTCTTTCTATAAAGAAAGTTACACATTTTAACCATATATAGGATTTTGTTTTTCAATTAACATGTTTTGTTAGGACTAATAATTCATCAAATTTCTTTCTACAATTTACACATAATGCCTTGTGTTTCATTTTGTAATCTAGTAACTGATTCAATTGTAGAGCATGCAATAATAATAGTAATAGAGATGCTGAATGCTTCACTGACATTTCACTCCCAGGTTATTCTGGTTATATTGGGAGTAACAAACTTGAAGTTGGAAGTTCTTTCCAAGTCACTACTTTGGGTCAAGGAGGTGGTGCCTTGAATGAATTAAATGATTATTTTGGAGAAAATTAAATATGAAAAAAGGATTAAAAATCCTAACCTCACGTCACTAAAATACAATTTTCTCCCTCAAATACTCTAATTTGATAGTTCCCATTCCCCTTTTTGGTGCCTCTGTCTCCTACCTTCTTAGTGACTTTATTCCTCCTCCTTTCAAAACCTTGGGTTCCCAGCAGATTCCTAAACTCTATCCAGTTTTATAGCTTAAATTTTGCGGTCAAGTAGTTAATGCAATTACTAATTATCCTATAACTAATTAAGGAACTATGGGCCAGTTGGTTCTTCCTCCATTCAACTGGCCGAAAGCATACCACACAAAAAGCAGAGGATATCAGTTATTTACTATAGTCATAATTCCTAATATGCATTTCAAAGTGGCTACTTTATTTCCTAGCAACTGACATGGTGTTACATCAAAATGAAAAACCAAGGGAAGTTGGTTAACTAGAAAAGAAAACTCCAACAACAAACCTCCCACTGTTCTCACTTCTCAGGAAACTTGAACCTCTTCTAAACCTGATCTGTTCATATCCAAAAAAAAAAAAAAAAAAAAAACTGTATCTCGTTGGATTCAGCCAAACAGTAATTATATTTAAACAGCAACCAAAACAATAACAAAAACAGGAAACCTATATCTGTAACTGAATAGAAACGAGAGATAGATGAAAGATGAGCAAATATTGGAGTTATAAGAAGCGAACATCAAATGACTCAACCGAATGCAGAGTGAATTATTTGGGTGGTCTGAAATTGACTTGGGAATTAGAATTCTTGTGAGATTTTGATGTGAGCTGTGAAACGTGACATTGACAGAGAAGAAAATCGTGTTGAGAGCAAAAGTTGAAGAGTGAACGAGAGAAATAGGTTTTAACGTATGAAAAGTGGTTCATGGATCGTTTAAGGGAAGACAAAGCCGAATCACATCACATCCACACAAATACAAACACATGGTCTGTTATTTAGTTAAAGAATTCCCAATTGAACTTGGGATGACCTGAAAAAACAAATTCGCAATTACAATAACGATTTTGAAATCTATATCCTTAGCCTTAGACCAACAGCAATAATCAAAAACACTATCATATGTCTGTTACCGGCGCCAGTACCACGGTTGCGGGACCAAGCTATAAGCGCCTGAGTTTGGGTATTGGCCGTGAGAATTTCAATGAACTCTGCATAGATAGGGTAGATTGAACAACGAAGATGCTGTTGTGTTTTTGGATTGGGTAGCAGCGTAGCAAATGTTAATTAGTTTTATTATAAATTTATTTATTTCACTTCAATCAAATCAAAATGAATTTTGTAAAATCAAAATTTTGTAAAATTAAATTTGTAAATGCTCAGCTCACGTAATCGGTCCTTAAAAAAGCATGGGTGGAGAGTCTGAAAACTTCCATCCATCGACTACAAACCTGACCTTTTGTTAACTAAAAATAGCATAATATAAAATGATAATTATAGTTTTAATATAACTTTTAAATTATTCACAAAAATAGTATATCGTATTTACAAAATATAACTCTTGATATTATACATATGACTTATATTAATTTTTTATATAAATAAAAGTCGTATGTAGACGATATCTGACCGTTAATATAACTAAATTTTTATTTATTTTAATATTTATAATTTAATTATTATAATGACTTAAATAGATTTTAATAAATTAATTATGAAAATAATTAATAGTATTTTATTTTTATTTAAATATAATTTTATTTATTCAGAATGTGGTTCTTATTTTTATATAACATTAATTTATTAATATTTTTAAATTTAAATATATAATGATTAAAAAATAATTAAAATTACATTAAAGGTAGATTATCTTTTAATTAAGATCAAAGTAAAGATTACATAAACCAAAATTATATAATGATAATTTAATTTTCTAAATGTTATTTTAGTGGATAATTACTTCTATTTTGACTCAATTAGACACAATTTACATTTTTTTAATGTTACCTTGACTCCCTATATTCATCTCATTGTGAATACGAGATGTTTTTGGCTATCTACATGTATCTCGTCTCTTAGAAAGATTTGTACATAAATAACTCATGACAATGCTTTTCACTTTTAGTTGATGAAAATATATTTGATAAACCTTAAATATATTTTTCAATTTACAAACAAGATCCATATATTATGAATTGAAATTATACACAATTACACCATTATTCGTTTAACTTAATATTGTAAATCTTCCCAATTTGGCCAATTTGAGCATTGACTAGCTCTTCGACCTCAAAATTTCCGATCTCTTACACATAATTACAAACATAATGGTTGATTCAAAGGTGATGATTTTCTGTTACAATAGTTGCCAACTCTTCGCAATATACATGTTCATCGTTCTCTTTCCATGTTCCACAAATAAAGTGTTTGTTCTATAAAATGTTTTAGAACTAAAGTAGTCATTGGCAATGATTATGCCCCCTTTTAAGACTGAATTTAAATACTCAACAAGATTAGTGGTCATATGATTGTGTCACATTCTTCCATCAAATGCTTAAGTCCACTTGTCCTTCAAAAATATTTTTAGCCATTTGGCAGCTTGGCAAAATTCTACATGTAAGGCGAGAAGTTTTGCCTCCATTTCTGGTTGCCTCTCCTCGTATGTTGTGAGTTAAAAAAGAGTTCAATATTATAACAAAAAAAATACAAAACTAAAGCTTACAAAATTTAAAAGAAATAACAACTGACCTATGTTGATAATATATTTCTTAAGATCATTGTTTACAAACTCTTTATTAAAATTGCTAGCTATGTGTATAATGTAATACATAAGAGTGTGTATGTGGTTCCACACATCTAACTTCTTTGTTCAGCAATGCAGCTAGAAGACCGTTTTCTCTATTAGAAATTATGTAGATATTAGATTATGGTGTCACATGTCTGCATAAGTTATATAAAACTCATGCTTATACTTCTTTTATTTTCCCTTCAACAACTGCATAAACTAGTGGCAAGGTATTTCTATTCCCATTTTATGTGCAGTGCCTTGGTATTTATTAGTCAAGAATGTGCCATCAACTTGAACATTTGGCTTACAAAATACAAAACCACATATGCATGGTTTAAAGGATAAAAAACACGATCTAAAATTAGACTTTGACTATTTTCTACATTGTCAATAACATTATAGATGATTTGTATCTAACGACAGAACCAGGAACAAATTGTTTGATTGCAGCCATCAATTTAGGTAAATACCTATGATTGCTCCTAATCACCAAAGAAGTATGCGAGTGCCTTTTGCTTTGCAATCCATGCCTTCCTATATGTCACATTATATCCATAATGAGCTCACACCTCTGCAATCAATGACTTGATTGGAACACCAAGGTTTGCACCTACTTATAAAAAAATAAATTAGATATTAGTGAGTTATCTAATTTGTGATAATCTTGTGAAATAGATGTATTGGTGCAAGTATGATTTTCATTTAATTTTTTAATATCCCATTTTTTTGCTTTGCTTGCTTAAAGATGCCTGAATCCTCCATTGACATTCATCTCCAAATTGATACATTTGCTGACAAATCTACCTAGCCTTAAGACTTTAACAACATAGTTTAAGGAGTGTTAGATGTGAAATTATTTAATGCAGTTAATTGTAACGATTCTAGAATCAAATTGTATACCAACTGGAAGATCATTAAAAATACTTTCAACACCTTCAACTCTCGCTCTATAAAAATTAAGAAATTTTGAATCTTGTGTTTCCTGCAAGCTATATTAGTGTACAATGAATAAGATGAACCTAACGGTGTTTCAATATAATCATTGTTAGGGAGATATATTCCTTCATTTTTTTCGCTAAATTCACTTACAATGTCTCTATCGTTTGGATTAACATGAAGATCCATCTAAAAAAAATTATGTACTTAATTGTAATTTAAATTGCAAATTAAAAACATGCAATAAATGTTTTACATATGAATGAAGATTTATTGAACAAACTTAAAAATAACACCTTATAAATTCCTTACACGGTAATAATATCTAACTTAATTCCTTCTTAATGGACATGCTAATCCTTCACATCCTAATGGCATATTTTTTTTCTACTTTTCATAGATATAAATTTGAGTGAATTAGAGGTAATAAATTTCAAGTCTCACTCATGAATAATTCACATATTAATACTGTTGTTGCTAGCTTTTCACGTATCCAATCATATTAAAAAAATGGAGCATCTGCAACCTAGTTCAATTGATGGGAAACTTGTTAAGTCTATAGCATAATCATATCTCAAACAAGATATGGAATAAGATTGAGCGACAAGTCAAACCGAGGCACAAGTATGTGTATAAGGGTGATTTAGAAGATGATGTTCAAATACTAACCAATCTAGCAGCGTTTGGTCTTCCATCATTGATTTTTAACTTTCCAATCAATTATCATCTTATTATTATTTTGGTTGAATGATGGAGATTAGAGACTCATATTTTTTATTTTTCACAAAACAAAACAATAATCACATTAAAAGATGTTGCCTTATACCTTAGTCTACCAAATAACATATAAATTGTCATTAGTGTGACCTAGTTTTAAAGGCAACACATTTGTTAGATATTTTCAAGAGTTTTTTTTATCCAAAGAATATATAAAGTGACAATCAATTAATATTTTCTAGTTACAAAACACTTTCCAAATATTCCTCCCAAACCTATTGGATCAAATTCGCATCAATATGGAAGAGCTCACATCTTAAGGATGATAGGATGTTTTCTTATGATAAATACATTAAGTGTTAGTGTACTTTTGATGTATTTACTATTATTACATAACTTGAATAATGTTATATTTTATAGTTGAAGCTCAACTATATTGGTAATGTTATATTGTTCTTTGGATTGTGTTATGAATTCGTTTCAAATAAAAAAGATGAAAATATGTTAGGTTATTAGACAGGACTTGCGACTTAACTTGTATAAAACTTAACATATTTAAGTAATATACTTAATTTAAAATTTTTAAGAGATTTAATTAATTAAATAAGTTAGATTTAAATTTAATAAAAAACTTATAGACTTAATAAATTGACCTATTTAAGACTTACTAATTTTATAATAATATTTAAAATACTTGTAATATGAAATTATATTAAATAAATTAAATTATAGAATAAAAAAATCATAAAATTTAAAACTCTAGTCCTTTTCTCATATTTTTTCAAATTTTCCTGGAGAGTGTCCCTTACTACCACCTAGAAAGCACCCCTACTTGTTTCTTCATATATGTTGCTCACTATTAGTTTCACTCGTTGAAATATGCTAATTAAATATTGTATACTTAAACTTCTTTGGTCATTGCAGATTGTAATTTCTTCAATTATTACTGCTTGTGCTTTGTTGTTGCAATTGGTCACTATTGCTTTGTCATTTATGTAGATGGTTATTATTATTATTATTATTATTATTATTATTATTATTATTATTATTATTATTATTATTATTATTATTGTTGTTATGTGTATGTGAATGTAACTTAATTCAAGTATCTTATTTACTAACTATAGGTTAGATATTGTAACGAGAAAATGTGGGAAATAATTGCTACTAGCATTATTGTACATGTAGATCTTTCTAATATTGTTGAAGATGAAGTTTGGAGGTTGGCTATTCAATATGTAAATCTAATCTAGATTTTCAAAAAGTTAGATGTAAAATAGTAACAGTTGATTGTCTAGCAATATATGAGATAAAGAAGAATTTTTTTAAAATTTTGTTGAGAAGTGTTAATGAAATTAGTTTAATTATAAATATATGAAAATCATGTCACCCAGTAGTAAAGTATATGATTATTATTGGACACTTCATTGATGTAGGGTGAGAACTTCAAAAGAGAGTGTGAGTTTTGTTAAGTTCCTACTCCAATGCATGGTATTGATGTGGTTGATACAATTTTTCAGTGTTTAAAATCATGGAAAATCCATTTTTTTAATTTCAATTAATAATACATCACACAGTGATTCATGTCTAAGAAGTCTTAAGAATAATTTGTGATTAAATAATGTTATTTTTTGGTGGTGTACTACTTCATGTTAGATGTTGTGCATATATATTAAATCTTT